CAAAACTGTAGATAAACATGAGTACTACATTCCTAAATTATTTTCCAGTATACAGGGTGGCCCAATAAGAAGTGGTGACACAAAGCTATGTTTTCTTAAATGACCTTCCTGTATATTATTTCTGGATTTTGCGAAAAATTCTAGACATATTTTATGCACAATGTTATATACCTATCTTCAACTGTTTCGGCAATATTGACAGTTGAAAATTGACTTTTTTGCATCTTTGACAGACTGTTAAACCTGAACGGCGGTTATTTTACAGCAGAACCGATCATACTATCCTATCCTAGTTTTTCATAAACTATTAGTTGACACCAACCTTGAATTTAATCCATGATTAAAAATTTCGCTTAAATTATTAATCTTCGGTTAAATTCAAAGTTAGTGTCAAATGATAGCTAATGAAAATCTAAGATAGAAATGTAAAATCGGTTTTCCTCTAAAATTAACCGTTTACGTTTACAGTCTGTCAAAGATGCAAAAAAGTCAATTTTTTACTCTCAATATTCTTGAAACAGTTAAAATTAGGTATATGACATTATTCATGAAATATCTATATCTAGAATTTTCCACAGAATCCAGAAATGTCATACTTAATATACAGGGGGATTCAATTAACACATAACATAACTTTGTGTCACCACTACTTATTGGGCCACCCTGTATACTGGAAAATAATTTAAAAAATTGCAAAATTTTAATTTAAGGCATAGGTACCTATTATTATTATATCTCACCTTTCTTCTCTAATTTGAAAGTTGGCCAACATTCATCTTTTCATCAAAATTAAAATAAGCTTGACAGGAAAAGACATAGGTATTTCATTAATTATTGGCAAAATATTAGATCAAAAATTACTGTATGAACGCAACAATTAAATTAAATTTCAAATTAGGTAGTAGGTATGTAAATACAGAATTAAATAAAATTTCTTTTAGGACACACCTCAAAGCTTATATTAAATTAAACATTATAAACAGATATTTGGCCAATATTGGGCAATTATTGAAACCCCTTGAAGCTTTTTAAATAAAATATTATGAACAAATATTTGGCCAATATTAGACAAATGTTGCCCAGTAAACAGAATTATTTGACCAGTGTATTATTGTATGTAATCAACTATCTACAACCTTCCCAACTGTAGGAATTCTAGAAACAAATGTTTTTCAAAGAAAATTATAAGAACGCTTCAAGTGTATCTATATGTATATACCTCTACAAGCGACCTACACGTAAAGTGCCGCCATAGAAAACAGAATAACGGGTACTCATGGCCAAAGTTTTTTTTCAAGATTTTTTTGTGAATATCCATCACGGCACTTCACGTGATTTATGCCTCGAAAATAATTCTAGAGCTCCGCAAGAGAGACCCCTATTTGGGCAGAACAGCACCGCGGAAGTCCCTCATTTGTGGTGGCAGAAGCACGCGAATATCTACTATATTTTAGGCTTAGGTGAATTTTTAAGTACCTACCAAAGACTATAGAATGAATTTCCGAATGAATAAACACACAATCACACTAAATTATGTCGTTACAATAACGTAATAATTCGCTCTCGAATTCGCTATTGCAAACACAGAACACCTAGCCTTGTAAATGCCGGCCGGGTCGTATCGTCAAGCAAAGGTTTCGTATCGGGCGGCGCCGGCGGTCGGGCGGTCGTCTCGTCTTTGCTACACAGAGCTTTGCGAAACCGAAACCTGTGTTATTATCGGATGATGCGTGCGCTTCATCCGCGCGCGAGGGCATTATGGGAAAAGGTTCGGCGGGAGTTTTTTCGTTTAGGAAACAACGTAATATTTATATTTATATATTTCTTTCAGCTGTATTCATTTTCATACTATCATACTTCATGATGTTTGGCAGACCGTCTTTGATTGCGTTACAGCGTTACAAAGAGTCGTTGTCCATTGAGCTACGTTAACCTTATATTCAATTCCCAATTTGTGTACATATTAATATTGCATATTGGTCCATTACTGGATAAATATATCAATAACCAATTTTGGCTAAATAATGTCAATAGTTATTTTTGTACCTAGTGCGCGCATTGCAGGTGAATTTTAATTATTTCTCGTTTCCTGTCAGGTATTTGTTACCTGACTCTGACTCAATGCGCGAACTACGCATTCGCACACGGCGTCATTGGGAACGTTAAAAAAACCATACCTGGAAAAAAAGTGTCACTTCGCAAATTGTCATCAGTGTACCTGCAAATATAATATTTTTTTGAAAAAACATATTTCTTCATATTAGCCCATTCTAGTAGTAGAGAATAGGCGGTTCTGGGACACTCGATGGCAGGCGGTTCTGGGACACTCGATGGCAGGCGGTTCTGGGACACTCGATGGCAGGCGGTTCTGGGACACCTCGATGTCCTCGCCTCACCTGTGCCGAAGAAGTAATTAGTTGTCACCTGAAATGTCTCACACCTTAAAAAAAAAAGTCCTGTCGTCTGCAAGTCACCTGTGCCGGCAGTGACCTGAAATGTCTAACTCCAAATAAAAAAAAGTCTAGTGTCTGTGTGTGGGATCCAACCGTTGACCATTCGCTCAAGAACCTGAAGCCATAACCACTCGACTACTTTAGACCTTGAATGTAACTAGGAAAATTTTTGTTCTGATGATGCGAACGGTTAAAATTTGAAATGGGAAAAAGTAAAAAAAAGTTCGCGGGTCTATCGAACCGTAGTCCATTCGATCAAGAACTGCTAATGCTAACAACTATAGAACCTGATAATTGAATGATGGTTGTTGTAGTAGTAGTAGAAGTAATTGATTGCGTCAATCGTGATGAGGATAGCCTGGCCTCACCTAATGCTGTGCAGATTGCTCTCATCGAATTTTGTTTAAATTGTTGCAGAATAGCCTAGCCTGGCCGAGCCCAGCCTGAAATAGCCCAGAGGGAATAAATAAAAAGCAAATTTTTTTTAATAGTTTTATTAACAAGAAAATGAACTTAAACATTAAAAATTAAACGTTTTCCAATATTTGCTGTTCGCTGTTGTTGTTGTTGTTGTTGTTGCACTTAATTGTATGTTCATCAATTCTCAAGCTGTCACCATGGGTTGTATAATGTTTTGAAAACTTTTTTCCCTTAATTTTTGTTCTGCAGACATCACAAGTATATGAGGCAGTGTTTCGTTTCAAATTATGGAGTTTAAGAAAATCTACTTGCGAACAAATTTTACAACTATGTGCAGTTAATGCGTAGGAATAAGTCTTCATTTTTATGTTGTTGACAAAGCGCGAGTCTGAATATTACTAAGACTAGAATCAGCAGTGGTTGATTTATAGTCCTACTGTTATCTCAATATTTAAAAAAATATTATATGATATGAATAGAACTATTACATTAAAACACAGAGTAATACATTGATTATTAATTTATTGAAAAAAAAATATATAAAATAAATTAGGTTTTACTTCCACGGTTCTTCAAAAAATTTGCATGGTATTCTTTTTCCTCCCGTGAATTTCGAATATTCCAAGTCCCAGCTGCAGGGAATACACGGTCGATTGGGTACATCTGTTTCGCCCTTACATCTAGGACATTTATGCTTGATCGGTACTGGCATCTTATTTGCCTTCTATGTAAGACCGCATTTCATAAAGAAATGTCTGATAGTGGATTATATTTTGCCAGTTGACTAGATTAGCGTGTTTTCGAATAAAGTCTTCAGATAACCTTTGATATTTTGATATGAAAGGCCAATGGACCGCAGTTTTAAATTCTTCGATAAAGGACTCACTCAACTGTTGATACTTTGAGATAAGTGTCCAGTTAACTTTTGTAAGAAACATCCTCATGAAATCTTCTTGTAAAATTTGGAAAGTACAAATAAGATTCCAGTTGATCTCTCGCTGGTAATATGTCATAAACTTTTCTGTTATAACTAATGATTTTGATATATCATTCCATATAGCTCTTTCTGATGGTGCACACTCACTAGACATTATTTTCTCTTGACTTGTTCACTCTTTGAAGGATAAAATTATACTGAATATTTTGGGAAAAAAACAGTCGTATCAATAGCTTATCAGTTACGCAACGTTATTTTTATCAATCCAGCTGTTGTGTTTACTGTCAAATCCAAGCCATTTTACGAAAACTTTATTTTTTGAACGTTTTAGAATTTTTTCCACTAGGTAAATGTCTGGATGTTTCACTTTTTGTAACTGAAGTTCATAAAATCCCCCTTTAATTTCCTGTTCGTTAATGTCCTCTAATAAATAGGTTGTTGGGTTTGTGAGTTGAATTTTCTTTATAGTAAAAATTTCTGTAGACCGGTTTGGCATATATTTTTTATCAAATACTCCACGTGTTTTCGATACACGAACATGATCACCAAGATCAAATTTTGGTTTAGATGCAATTTTAATCCTATTGTAAACAGTGTCTAATAGCAGTTTCTCATGTCGTTTTCTAACGTCGGACGGTTTCATGCCAATGGTTCTGTGTTTTTTAGTATTATAGAATTTAACCATTTTAGGCAGTATGTCTGTCCATTTGTGAGATCCTCGATAATTAAATTCTTTCCACATGAAATTTTTCAAAGTTCTGTTGACTCTTTCAACAATTTGTGCTTTCTTCTCACTAAAACTGCTGTAGTGTTTGATTTTGTATTTTTCCAATAGTTTTTTCATTTGAGCATTGTAAAATTCAGTTCCAAAATCTGTTTGTAAATGTACAGGTACTTGTTCTTTGAAAACTTTCTCCATAGCCTTCGAAACTTCACTTGCCGTTTTGGATTTGAGCGGATAAGCCCAAACATATTTTGAAAAACAATTAATAACAACCAGAATATACTTGAAACCATTATTTGCATATGCATAGGGAATCATTTCAACAAGATCAGCTTGAAATAAGTCATGCAATGATTTAATAATTACTTTACGTCTAGGAAAGTTTATTCTTGTAGGTTTATGTATCTCGTTGACAACTTGTCGCTTAACATCCGAAACATGAACTTTACCCATTTTATTATTATTATTATTCAACAATGTCTGCTTCTCGTAACTCTTCCACAATTGCGTTGATCTCGTTGGTATGATTTGTATTGCCTGCCGTTTGGGAAGCGAGTAACAGTTGTAAGCGTTCGACAAGTTCATTCTGATCATCCCAGTAGACGTAATCAATTGAGTCGTTGGAATATTCCATTTCTGCTGATGATGCAATCATTCCATTTCCAGTAGTTGTTAGAGGTTCGAAAAGAAGTTTAAATTTTCCAGATTGACTGTCATTTTCATCTCCAGTGGTCTTGAACCTTTTTCTATTTATATTGGTTCTTGAGATAATGTCCTTGAAAGCAGCTTCATCATCCTTCGTATAACTTTTAGGCATACTTTTTCTGAATAGCAACTTATACAGTCCTGGGGTTCCTTCGTATCTTCTACCTTTTACTATTAAATCAGATCCAACGATTTCAACTTTGGAATCACCAATGTAGAAATTATCAATTTCATCACGTCTTATACGAAATTTAGGTAAAACATTTCCCTCTAACGATGGATCAGTAGCAGGGTCATTTATAAATTCTTGTATATATTTTGCAGGTAATGGATCAAATTGATCCAAATATTCAGTTTGTGACTGGCTTAGAAATTCATTTTGACGAGATTCATTGAAATGCTTTTGTTTTCTAGCTTCCTCTTCATCTGTAGCATATTTTTCAACATTGTCCCTGAGCAGTAATTTTCTCAAATTATAACTATGTTGTGGTTGATCGGATTTTTTTGTTTTTTTCTCGCTAATTTGTGTGAAAGGTAATTTCCGTTTGATTTTTGTTGGTCTACCAATATGTGGGGTAGTATCAGCAACCGACGACGAGGATTGTGGTGTAGGCTGATACAATTCTAAATTCACTTTTTTAAATGCGTCATCTTCTTCTTCATAATCGTAATTACCTTCTTCATCCTGTTCCTTTTTCAATTTTTTCGTTTTCGGTATTTCTGTGGTTGTCTTTTCTTGTTGTTGTTGTTGTTGTTGTGATTTCAGATTTTGATTTTTATCTAATCGAGTTTCAATATTCGCCAAGTGTTTGGTGATGGGTTGAAAAAGATTTTCTTGTACTAATTGTCCTTGTTTCAACAAATTTAATTTTTCTCGTATAATTTTTCTTTTCGAAATCAATTTTCTGTTTAAAACTTTATCACTTTCATTCGTTTTTTCAAACATTTTTTATAATTTTTTCTACTTTACATGGTATGGCTAACACTTTCACAACAGAAATAAAAAACAGAAGCTCATGCATCTATAGATATATGTAATTGTCAAATCGATTACGATATCTTCCATTATCAATATTACTATCTTTGCAAATTGATAGAAAATCGTACTGTTTTTTCCAGCAGTGCGAGCAAATACTTTTAAAATCCTCGAAAGACATGTCTGTACCCACGTGATCAGTTTTGCCTCAGATGGTGAAATAATGTCTTCTCCAGTACTATAGGAAAAATATCCAATTCCTTTGATTGGTTTGAAAAGTTCCTCCAAATATAAATATTTTGGTTGATACAAGCTCTTCGAGTATAGGTAGACATTTGCAAATTTCACACCATTGGGATGTTCCAAAAGAGTAAGCATTACATTGGTTTTACCACAATTTGAAGGTCCAACTATTAGACATCTAATACTCGCAGGTAGCAGTTTACCATGTTTTGAATATCTGTTGTTGTTTTTGACATCATCATCGTGATTATCCACTTCCAGACGAATTTTTTGTTTGACAATTTTTTTCATTCTCTCAAGAAAATAAAAACGTACCTAATTAGTCAAGAGTCACTTGTGAAATGTATAAAGCTTTGGTAAAATTACAATTTTTATTTAGTTTTGAATTGTGTGTTGTTGCTCAAACATGAACTACTACGTGAATAATTCCAATCGTTATACCGGTGAGGGATTAGTAAACAGTGCTATTAATAGATTACCCTTTGAATTGTACTTACCAGGTTACAATTATTGCGGTCCTGGAACAAAGCTACAAAAACGTTTGGCTAGAGGTGACAGGGGTGTTAATCAGTTGGATGAGGCATGTAAGGAACATGATATAGCATATTCAGAGAATGAACATTTGGATGAGCGTCACGAGGCTGATAAGATATTGTTGAGGAAGGCTTTGGAAAGAATAAACGCAAAAAATGCAGCGTTATCGGAAAAAATAGCAGCCGCAGGAGTAGCTGCAGCGATTCACACAAAAGTTAAATTAGGTATGGGTCTTGATGGTGATGATCATGGTGATAGTGCGAAAGAACCGCGTTCTAAAATCCAGCGAAAATGTTTGAATTTAATCCACCGTGGTATGAAAATGACACAAAATTATTTGAACTCTTTAGAATGGTTAGAGAAACAAATTAAAAACTCAAAGAAAGCAACAGTAAGAAAAAAACAAAAAAATAAAATTGGTAAAAGAAGTGATCTTAAACCAAAAAGAAATAGACGTGCAGTAAAACGTAAACTTGTTGATGATGATGCTGATGATGGCGATGTTGATGGATTTAAACCAGAAGAGAAAGAAGTGAAAAAAAGAAAAATAATTAATTCAAAACCACAAAAACGTAAACTTGAAAATGATGAATCTATAACACAATTGGATGGGTTCAAAATCAAAAGAAGGAAAATTATAAAATTGCCTAGAAAAAGGAAAATTGATCACACCACTGATGATATTGATATTCCAGCAAAATTGTTAAGACTTGAAACAAATCAGTTAGAAAACAACAATAAAAGGAAATTAAATATTGATGATGATGATGATGGTGATGATAAAACTTTCAAAAAACCAAAAAATGATTAGGTAAAAATTCCAATTTAACTATATTTTTCTTAGTCTTGTGTAAGCCTTCAATATAAGTAGATGTAATAATGACTGTGTGTGCTGCTGCTGGTAACAAGAAAAGGTCACGCAAAACAAACAGATGAAAACAAAGAAAACGTCCACAGTCTCGCGTTAGTAGTAAAAGGAGAAGTCAACAAAATAAAAAGATTAGTTTTAGAAATGTGACCAAAACAGTGAAGGATAGTTTAAAGCGTGAAAAACCGAAAGGTTTGGAAAGTGCAATCAAAGTTGCTTTAAAAAGTATAAATAAATCCAAAGGAAAAATTAGACCAGCTCGAATAATTAGAGTACCTAAAACTGGTCGTATTCTACCATTAATACCAATATTTGCTGGTCTTAGCGCATTGGGCGCTTTAAGTGGAGGAGCTGCAGGGATTGCTAAAGCTGTTAACGATGCTAAATCAGCCAATGAACAGTTGAAGGAAAGTCAACGTCATAATCAAACGATGGAGTCCATTGCCATGGGTAAAGGATTGTTCTTGAAACCATACAAAACTGGTCTGGGTCTTTTTTTACACCAAGGAGGATGTCAGAGAAAAATCCCTTGACAATGTTGAAAAAAGCATTACCTATTCAATTACCAAAACATCGCGCCCTATCCAATATTGATTTGGAAAAATATGCCAAGTTACTGAAACTAAAACATTTTCGCGGCGTATTCATGAAAGATCAGTTACCCACAATGAAAATACACAAAACCGAATCTGGTATTATCAATTTGGATAACAGCACAGGTGTTGGAACTCATTGGACAGCATATAAAATAATTGGTAAAAACATCCACTATTTTGACAGTTTTGGCAATTTGCGACCACCTTTGGAATCGGTCAAGTACTTCAATTCAAATGGCGACTGTAAAATATTTTATAACCAAAATCCTTATCAATCGTATAATTCTGTAAATTGCGGTCATTTATGTTTAAGTTTTTTATATCATTGTAAAACCAAATAAAAACTCAGAATGCACCAGTTTGTTTTTTATTAATAAGTAGACTTTCCAATAGTGAACATGTCGTATACGTTCACGTTATCGGGGAGATCAGCTTACCTTTCTGCAAATATTCATCCACCTATAGTGCTCAACGAGTCCGAGCAATTCGATTTGGGTCTCATCAATTTTGCAAGTTACAATTCCATACCAAACGTTGACAGTTCAAATAATACTTTACACTATGACATTGATGGTAAGTCATCGATAACAGTTCCAGAAGGCTCCTATGAGATAAAAGACATCAATGACTATTTAAATGCTTACGTAAGAGACAATTTTAAGGAAGATGATTTTCAAATAAGCATACTCGCCAATCACAATACATTACAGTGTGAAATTTTGAGTAACAAAGACATTCATTTCCAGAAGAAAAACTCTATTGGAAGTTTATTGGGATTCAAACGTCAACAACTTGAAGCAAATAGAAAACACGTGTCGGAAAACCCAGTGGATATTTTCAAGGTCAATGCAATTTGTATCGAGTGTAATTTAGTGATAAATTCCTACAATAACGGTGATTCCGTTCATATACTGCACATGTTCTATCCCACCTCACCACCGGGATTTAAAATTGTTGAGAAACCCTCAAATGTCATTTATTTGCCTATAAGTACGCGATACATTGATGAAATTTTATTGAAAATCACCGATCAGAGTGGAGAAGCCATTAATTTCCGCAGTGAATTGATAACTGTTCGATTGCATTTGAGAAAAGCGTCAAAGTGAAAACAAAAATGGTATTTTTATATAATCATAATTCATCCAGTGCACCTTCTTATAACAGTGATGACGACAACAAGACAACAGAGTCCGGAACACAAAAAGCCTTTAAAAATAAGTCGTTGAAGGATAATCGCTTCAGTGTTGGAAAATCAGTCAAACGTCTAACAGTACAGAATAAAAACTTTTTAATTTCGTTAGGCTTTAAGTTGAAAGTGCAGTAATAATAGCAGTAGTGTCATCATTTCACTAAAAAAACGATTTATACAATTTTGGGTCAACATTAAACTACGATTGGGTGGTAGCGTAAGAAGACTTATTATATCTATCAGATGTAATTTTAAGTGTACCGAAGAAGGTGAAAAAGAAGAAAATGAGTCGCAATATTCTGAAAGTAAGCGAAAGTGTCATATATGATAATTCAATTGTAAGTTATCAATTGCACACGCATCAACCTTACACATCAACAACATTCAATAACAATGATGAAATCCGAATTCCAATACAGACACAGGACGTTTATACATTACCCAGCCAAAGTTTTTTGTATCTGGAAGGTAAACTATTATTGTCTGATAACGTAACGTTCAGCAACAATGTAAGCTTTATCAACAATGGATTGGCCCACTTATTTGATGAAATTCGTTATGAATTAAGAGGCGTTATTGTTGATCGTGTACGAAATCCTGGAATCACGTCAACAATGAAAGGTTATGTTTCATTCAAGGAAAGCGAAAATAATGTTTTGGTGAATGCTGGATGGGATGCTAAATCAAATCCCGCACTTTTGGATGGAAACGGAAATTTCAATGCATGTATACCTCTGAAACTTGTAATGGGACTTTTTGAAGATCATCATAAAATTATTTTGAATGTGCGACAGGAACTTGTATTGATAAGAAGTAATTCTGATATCAATGCTCACATTGAACAGGAAGATAAAAAAGAAACATACAAAGTGACGCTAAGTAAAATTTTATGGAAAATGCCACATGTTAGAGTGTCTGATGATCAAAAATTACGTCTTTATAAGTATTTTGAGAAAAATTTGGATTTAAATATTGCATTTAGAAGCTGGGAATTGCATGAATATCCTCAACTACAAACGACAACAAATCATACATGGGCTGTAAAGTCCACCAATCAATTGGAAAAACCACGTTTTATCATTATTGGGTTCCAAACAAATAGAAAAAATGTGGCATCAAAAAACATGAGCAGATTTGACCACATAACGTTAACAAATTTAAAAGTCTATTTAAATTCAGAAGTTTTTCCCTACGATAACCTCAACCTGGACTTTGACTCCAATCATTTCGCAATCCTATATGAAATGTATGCACAATTCCAAAAATCCTACTATTATCGTGAACAAAGTGAACCATGCTTCTATCCTATAAACTTTAAACAAGATGCTCCTCTGGTAGTCATTGATTGCTCTCGGCAAGGTGAAGACCTCCTAAAAGGTGGTGCTGTTGATATTCGTGTAGAATTTGAAACGAAAAAAGCGGTTCAAGCAAACACTACAGCTTACTGTTTGATTTTCCACGATCGACTTGTAAAATACAATCCATTGACCAGCACAGTGCGAGTTATTTAGATCTAGCGGAAGAAGATAAAGAAGAAAGAAAATGTTCATCCTAGACGTTCAAGGATTTCAATACAAAGATAGCGATTTTATTTGTAAGGAAATTGCTATTTTCAATCAGACGACCGGACAAATTTTTCATCAACTTATCAATTTACCTACAAATTCCAAGTGGTTAGGAGAAGATCTTAGACGACAAGTACATTGGACCACCCATAACTTGCATGGTTTGGACTGGAATAGGTTTGACTTTAGTTTCTTGCCATTTGAAAATATAACAAGTTTTATAATTGAAATTGTTAAAAATGAAACTGTCTTTGTGAAGGGTTATAATAAAAAAGTATGGTTAAGTAATTTAATAAATAATGATATTGTCGATATTGATAGCTTGGGATGTCCAAGTTTCAAAAAGTTAAGAACTGTAGCAAATAATTTTCGTTGTAAAACCCACTTGTTTAATAACTTAACTTGTGCCAAAGAGAGTGTATTTCTATTAAATAATTGGTTTTTGAATAAAAAAATGTAAAAATTTTTATCTAGTTTTTTTATTATTTCTACATAACTTACAGAGGTAGTCTTAAGCACTTGTACTAGCTGAGGCTTGCTGCTGTTGTGCCTCTGCCACCTCATCATCATCTTCATCAGCATCATTAGCATCCTCATCAGTTGAAAAGATTTCGTCAATTTTCAATTTTCGTTTCCCTCCCTTGCCTTTAGGTAATATCCGCAAACGTTCGGGTTGGGAGGAGGACCCCTCCTCTAGGTTCTCGTCCAAAAGGTTGAACTTGAACTTTTTCACTACTTGCTCCAGGAGCTTAAACTCCTCCTCGCTGTCGATTCTAGTTCGCATGTAGCGAACTGGTAAATTGCCAAATTTTCTTTTTAGAGTAGCCGCTCGTGGAGAATAGGTTAGGTTGACAATTACTTTGTCAACCTTTTGTGAAATATCCTTCACACCATATCTAAAAAAATAAAAAATAAAATAAATAGATTTTGAAAAAATTTACATTGGCGTTATGGTAACGGTAAAAGATAAAATAGGAAATTAAATAAAACAGAAAACATAAAATAATGCAGTCTTTTAATTTTAACAAATTCACTGTAAACTCGAAAACTGAAATTAATTTTTTTCAATAGAAAAAGAAAAAACAAGTACTTACTGGAAGAGATGCTTCGCCACAGCATATAGACTTTTTATTGGTAACAGTGTTCTATCTTCGGAAAAAAGCACTAGAGTGGTTGGAGTTGCTGCCATGTTTCGTCTTGTGCTCGTTGACTACGAATTATTCAAATTTCTCTTCCGATTAAATAGTAATAGTAATCAAACCAACAACCAAAAAAATATATTGATAATAATATAATTATTTACCATCATTTTGCTACATTGTAATGAATGATAAAAGTTGTTTTCAACAAGAACTTTCCAGTTGCATCAGTATTCTGTTATTCATTGCATACATTGTAACCACTGATAAAATTGGTTTTTCCACTTTGCAGACATTTTCGGTAAAATAACAAGGTCAATAAGTTCAATTTGCAATCTTGTTGTTCTCAATTAAAGCTTCTTAAAAAATTTCAGCTAATATAAAAGTTCGCTAATGAATCAAGAGTTAGGTAAATTAGACACAAAGCATCGCGTTTAATTAACCGGCATTAAAATAACGTAGTGTGTGTGTCTGTGTGTGTGATTCGATTCAAGATGACTTCAAATTTAGTGAAAGATTCGTATAGTATCCTGATCCAAAAAAACATTATTCATCATCAAAAAGAATGGTTGAAGGCACTAGAGGTTTGTCCAGAAGAAATTGATTTCATAGAAAAAAATGTGAACGTTCCCTATTGTATTGCCGGTGGATTCAGCTCTTTTCTTTGCGGTTACACCAACACATTTGACGATATTGACGTATTTGTATGTACTAATGCACCCGATTCTAAATTAAGAAAAATTCTAACAACAAAAGGTATCGAGGATGACTATGATAGAGCGAACTTCTCAATTTACGACTACACACTTCTTTCTCGGAAAATTCAATTCATTTTTATTGGAAAACCGTGGGTAACAAATAAAGTGGCTTATCTCAATCATATGTGTGCCATCATCTTCAGATTCGACCTAGCCATTTGCATGACGGCAATTTTACCAAATGGATGTACGTTGGACTTTTCTCATCTGAAGTTCAATGATGTTGGTATCAAGCCAGAAAGGGTCGTGAAGTATTCGAAAAGGCCCATTAAAATTACTAAAGTTCAAAGCTTGCAAGAGCAAATTGTAATTTTGCAACTAACACAATTCATGAGAGAAAATGGGTTGAGAAAGTTGCAGCAACAGTTTGGAGAGTTTTATGGTTTTTTAACTCCTACCTTAGCGGCGAAGATATGGCGTTACAAATATAATTATTGCTAATCAGTATTACAAAGTAACTTATTTATCGAAAATTTTCCAGAAATGTTGTTATTGTAAATAAAGTCCAGAGTAAGCATAGAAAAATATGTTTTTGTATGATAATTATTGATATGAAATTTATTTAAATAGAAGCCCACGGTCTTGTTTATTCAGTCCACAAAGTACCAGTAAGCAGCAGCAGCAGTAGCAGCAGCAGCAGCAACCAAAGAAAACTACAACAAGAACAATGGCGAGCCAACAAGTACTAGACAAGTTGTCCTCTGAAGCTGTGCAGAAATTTGAACTAGTGAGTAGATTACTTAAAACGAAAGAAGATTATAAATTGCATATGAAATCGCTTAAAAAAACCATTTCAATTTTAAAAAAAGCCATAAAAAATAAAACGTGTATACGTAGTTTCAATAGGGTAGAAACAAATTTAACCATTTTAAAACATTTTTTACAAACATTCAAATTTAATTTAAAATCAAATAAGTCGCTTTCTAAACGAAAATTGATTTGGCAAGATTTAGATTCGTGTTTCAATGGGAGGATAAAAACTGGAGTTATTAACAATTTAAAACTAAAGGACCCCAAAGAATTTTTAAGGTTAGCATTTAGAATTTTTTCATTGAGAATTAAAACTTAAAAATTCATTGTTGAAAGTCAATGTTGTTTTTTCGGGTCTATTTATAAAACCTCAAACTTTGGAAACATCTGCTAAACACTTTGGCACAAAAAATTGTGTGATTGAACATACTACCAATTTAAGTGTTTGGTACAATGTGAACGTGTGTGATAAAATTTTATTTAAAATGGAGGAGTTTCAAGAAAGGGATAGTGGTTGGGCTTTATGTGAAATTTGGTTTTTGAAAGTTAACATAAACTCTTCTAATCCGATTGTAGTAGGAATTTCTACTTTTGTAAGTATTCCAGATTTCATTAAAAAAACTAAGGCTGTGATAAATATTAAAAATAATGATGTTTATTGTTTTTTGTGGTCTGTGGTGTGTGCTATATTTGGTCCTAAACCAAAAAAAAATATTAGTCGTACGACATCATACGATGACTTTAGAAATGTTTTGAATTATGAAGGAATTTCTTTTCCTATAGCCTTGAAAGATATTCCAAAATTTGAGGCTTTAAACAATTTGGCCATCAATGTTTTTTGTGTGAAAAAACGTGAAATTTTACCTTTAAAGTTAAGTAAGGTACAATTTTATACAAACAAAGTTAATTTACTCATTTTACCTTGTAATAATGTGAAACTTGATCAAGATGAATATTTTAAGCCAGAAAATAGATTATTTCATTTTGCGTGTATAAAAAATGTAAGTCGTTTATTGTGTAAACAAGTTGGCAACTATCGACATAAAAAATGGTTTTGCGAGCGATGTCTCAATCATTTCTCTAGTAAGAGAGTATTAAAAAGTCATTTGCGAGAATGTAGAACACTGAACAAGGCGAAAATTATCCTACCTGAGGAAACTGAACGAATTTTGAAGTTTAAAAATTTTTCAAATAAATTGTCTGCTCCATTCGTGGTCTATGCTGATTTAGAAAGTATGCTTGTGAAATATGACGATAAAAATGGTGTAAAAAAATCAAGAAAATATCAAAAACATGAAGCATTCAGTATAGCATACTATCTAAAATGTACATATGATGATTCGCTTTCAGAATTTAAAATGAAAACAGGTCAAAAGTGTCAAGAATGGTTTGTTAGGGAGCTTGAACGAATTGCAAGAAAGTTTCAGTCAATAATTTCTAATATTATTCCAATGAATTTAAGTGAACAAGAGGAAAATAGTTTTTATACAGCGAAAGCATGCCATATTTGTAAAAAACTCTTCGCCGAATCTGATGTTAGGGTTCGAGATCATTGTCATTTAACTGGAGAGTATAGAGGTGCCGCACACCAGTCCTGTAACTGTAACCATTTTAGATATAAACACATAATACCTGTAATCTTTCATAATCTGTCAGGATATGACAGTCATTTCATCATTAAAGCCCTTTGTAGTGAAATCAAAGGCAAAATTGACTTACTTCCAATCAATAAGGAAAAATATATCTCCTTCACTACACATGTTGACTCTTCAAAAATTTGTTTAAGGTTCATAGATTCATTTAGATTTATGTCTAGTAAACTAGAAAAATTAGCGTCTTATTTGGATGATAATCAAAAAACTATCACAAGAAATTATTATAATAATGATGCTAAATTTAAGTTGGTTACTAGAAAGGGTGTTTTTCCCTATGAGTATATAGACTGTTGGGATAAGTTGCAAGACATCAGTTTGCCACCAATTCAACAATTTTACAGTCACCATACAAACTCAACAGTTTCCGAAGACGAATATGAGCATGCTCAAAATGTTTGGACTACTTTTAACATCAAATGTATTCAAGAATATGCCGAGTTATATTTGAAAACTGATGTCTTTCTTCTTGCCGACGTTTTTGAAAATTTCCGTCAGCTATGTTTGACCACCTATGAATTAGATCCTGTTCATTATTATACTTCACCAGGTTTTGCTTTCGATAGTATGTTAAAAATGACTGATATTTCATTAGATCTTTTGACTGATATAGATATGATTATGTTTATTGAAAAAGGTATTAGAGGTGGCATTTCACAATGCTCAAATCGATATGGGAAAGCTAATAATAATTATATGGGTAATGCATATGACCCTAACAAACCATCTACATATCTAATGTATTTTGATGTTGTCAACTTGTATGGAGCGGCGATGAGTTATCCCCTGCCTACAGGTAACTTTGAGTGGGTTAGAGACATTGATGAGATATCAAACAGTTCTGATATAGCTGAAGACAGTGAAGTCGGTTATATCTATGAAGTAGACCTTGAGTATCCTAGAGAATTATTTCATCTACATATGGATCTGCCACTTTGCCCTGAACATATGGTACCACCAAATTCAGCATCTACAATCCCAAAATTACTAACTACACTTTTCAATAAGAAAAAATATATTATTCACTATAAAATGCTTCAGTTGGTCTCTAAATTGGGGTGTCAAAATTAAAAAAATTCACAGATGTCTTAAATTTAATCAGTCACCTTGGTTAAAAAAATATATTGATTTAAACACTGAATTGCGAAAAGCTAGTTTAAATGAGTTTGATAATAATCATTACAAGTTGCTGAATAACGCAACCTTTGGTAAAACCATAGAAAATGTTAGAAAGTATAGGGATGTGAAATTGGTTACCAGATGGTCGGGTAAATATGGTGCAAATTATTATATTTCCTAACCCAATTTTAAATGTTGTGAAGTTTTTGGTCAAGATATGGTACTAATTGAAATGGATAGACTGAAACTAAAATTCAATAAACCTATTTATGTTGGCATGTCCATTTTGGATATTTCAAAATCGATTTTGTATAATTTTCATTACAACTTCATAAAGGAAAAATTTCATTCAAATTCAAAATTATTATACTGCGACACGGATAGTTTAATTTATCAATTTTCAGATGTTGACATATACAAATGTATTAGAGATAATATTGATATGTTTGATACCTCAGACTATCCTGTTGACAATCAATATCAAGTTCCCCTTAAAAACAAAAAAGTATACGGGTTAATGAAGGATGAAAATAACGGTAAAGTCATGACCGAATTCGTTGGATTAAGGTCTAAAATGTATTGTTTTAAACTTTTAAAAACTCCAGAGCAGGACAATAATAGTAATGTGAAACAAAAACCCAAAGGTGTGAAATCATCCGCATTGAAACTTATTACATTTGATGATTATTATAATTGCCTTTTTCATAATACTTGTGTTGAAGTTCAACAAAATTCAATTATTTCCAAAAAGCATGATATTTTCACAGTAGAACAAATAAAAACAGCTTTGAGTCCTTTTGATGATAAGCGTATTGTAAACTATGTATATACTGATACTATACCCTGGGGATATAATAAATAATTGATTGATTAATTCCCTTCTATTTTTTTCTCTTCTTCTTCTGTTTTAAGTATTTCTATCAAAATCTACACTACAAAAAGTTGTTGATGTTAGTCATAGTTGAAATAATACCCTGAATTATATGCTAATGAAAATATTTTTTAGACTAGTCAAATTGAAAAAAAGTGGCAGCCAGTATTTGCAGATAATAAGCGATTTAGGAATTTGAGTGGCCTTTCTCAAACAAGACGAAGATGTGAACCAAGAGCCATATTGAAGAATGATAAATATATAAAATTCAATGGAACGTTGTGGTGTGAAAACTGCAACAAATTCTTTTGTTTTTGTTGGAAATCAATTCATATTCACACATCTTCTAACATCACAACCAACAGTCCTGTAGATCTCTATTGCGGAGAAAAAATGCCCGATTCCTAATGTTTTACTCTTATTTCTAGCCCCGAATCAATATTGACCTTCCAACCAAGCAAGGTCTGTTAAGAATCAAAGATTCGGTGGTAACGTCCCGTGTAGATGGATGCTTTCAATTATATCAAGCGCCACCTTGGGACGATGCAGGTTGGAAAAAAATGGACAATGATTTTGAGAAAGCTGAATTATGGGACAACACAACGAAAAAATATTGGAATAGGATAAAAGCCGAAACGCACTACAACATACAACATTTCAATCAATATAAATCATCGTGTGGAAATAAAAATAAAAAATTGAAAAGCTACTAGCAAATACTTATTGATTTTTTTTTTGTTTGTAAAAGTACGTACCTATATTTCTCTGTAAATTAAACTGTTTTGATAAAAAATTTGCTTTTTATTTATTCCCTCTGGGCTATTTCAGGCTGGGCTCGGCCAGGCTAGGCTATTCTGCAACAATTTAAACAAAATACGATGAGAGCAATCTGCACAGCATTAGGTGAGGCCAGGCTATCCTCATCACGATTGACGCAATCAATTACTTCTACTACTACTACAACAACCATCATTCAATTATCAGGTTCTATAGTTGTTAGCATTAGCAGTTCTTGATCGAATGGACTACGGTTCGATAGACCCGCGAAC